TTTCGGTTTAGTTTCGTTTTTCTTTTGTTGGTTTTTTTTGTTGTTTTTTCTGTATTTTTTGGTTTTTGTGGGTTTTTTATTTGTTTGATTTTTTTTTGGTTTGATTTGTTTGTTTGTTTTTGTTTGTTGATTGTTTTGTTTTTTTCGTGTTGATATATTTATAGTTTTGTAGTTTTGTTTTATGTTTTTTATTTACGTTTTGGGGTTAGTTGTGGTTCTTTTTTTTTTTCGGGGGTTTCGGTCGTTTGTTTTTTTGTTTTTTTGTTCGTGGCTTCTTTTTTTTGTGTGGTTGGTGTTTGTTTTTTATTAGTGGGTGTTTGGTTTGGTTTTATTTTTTATTTTTTTGGTTTTATTTAGTGGTCTTTGGTTTTTTGCTTGTTTTGAATGATTGCGTTAAGATTTTTCTTCTATATTTTGTGTTTTTTAGTGTTTTGTGGTGTGTGGTTTTTATGAGTTTTATTTGTACGCTTTATAGGTGTTTCTTTTGTTTTTTGTCTATGGTTGATTTTTTATTTTGTTGTTTTCATGTGTCGGTTAGGTTTTTGTTTCGGGTTGGGTGGGGGCGGCATAGGGTTGGGGTTAGGGGGGTTATTTCTTTTTTGGTTGTTGTACTTATGCTGGTTTAGTTAGTGTTTTTTTAGTGTATTCTTGCCTTTGGTTGGGGATGGTTGTTGTTTTGTCGAGCATGCTTGCATGGGATGTGTTGTTGTGGTGTTGTTTGTGGTATAATATGGTTCCGTTGTTTTTGTGGACTTATTGGTGGCGTTCTGGTTGCTTGGCTGTGGGTAGTTTTGGTAGGTTGTGTTGCGGTGGTGTTAGGGTTAGTTTGTCTTTTTTGGTGGGTTTGTAGGCTGCTGGGTCTCAGGTGTGGTATGTGGTTGGGTGGCTTGTTTTTGTTCTATTATTGGTTTATGTTCTTATCGTTGTCATTTGTTTTTTTTAGATCTTTTTTTTTTCTGGGTTCGGATTCGTTTTGTGGATTGTTTGGTATTGTCTGTGGATGTTGAGTGTGATGTGAGGGTCGGGTGTCTGTTGTGAGGTGGGGTGTATTGTTGTTTTTGTTTGGTAGTAATGTTTGTTTGGTTTGGTTCAGTTGGTTTATTGTTTTTTTTATGGGTTTCATAGGTGTGTTTTGTATTTAGTTTTTTTGTTTTGGGGGTGTGGTGTGTTTGTTGGGGCGGGCGGTTGGTGTTTTGATGTGTTGTGTTTTTTTTGTTTTTTTGTATGATTGATGCTTGTTTCGTTTGCCTTGTGCTGAGTTGTTTGGAGCTGTTTTGCTGTTGGGTGATTATGTTTTTGATGGTTTTTTGGGTATGGGTAGTTTGTTTTTTGTTGTCGTTGTGAGTTGTTATTCTTTTATTGTGTTTTCCTTGGTGAGTATTTTTTTTTATTTTGGTGTTGTGGTTTCAAAAAACTTAAAGTTTGACAGTATATCACATAGCAAACGTATGTGCTATTGCCATTGAGCAGAATTGAGTGTGTACCTTCACAAAATAAATAGGAGTGTCAAAGTGAAATGTCAGAGATATCAACTGTCAAGCTTAGTACTTAAGGAAATCAGACATTTCATACTTACTAACCGTAAATAATGATGTTTACTAATTTTTGGGACAGTTTTATTATCAGACTTTTCAGTTAAAACCTAATCCTATGTGGTATGCCCTCAATTGTGTGGGGTTTGGTCATGGAAACGTCACATAATTGATGCTGCCATGACTAGCCTACATATGCCACGTTTAACAAATCTTTTTTGCGCTTTTTTCTTTCCCAGAAATATCTGAAGCAATGTAAAATACCCTTTAGATCAGGCGTCCTCAAAACCACGGCCTGTAGGCCACATGCTGCCCGCTCTAGGACATTATTCGCTCGCTCTGAGGTTTTTTTTGGCCACTGCTGCCTGTCCTGCTTAGCAGCCGACTTGTCCGGCCACAATGAGCACTACTCTCCAATGGTCTGAGGGACAGTGAACTGGCCCCCAGTTTAAAAAGTTGAGGACCCCTGTTTTAGTGAAAGGCAGCATGGGATACTGAGACACATGAATATAGAAGCCCAAATTCACTCTGTTAACTCTGACCTAAAGTTCTAAAATTTTGCACTTGATCTTAGCCAAAAGGCCAAGAAGTGACGAAAGTTCTAAAGTTTTGACTTCAGAATTCACATATCTTTTTTAGGCCTTGGCCCCCTTTCTTCCCCTCTCATGGTTTCCTCTCAGGTTTGATTTGTAATAGCTGTCTTAGATTCTAGAGTTGTTTCTGGTAACTATAATGCTTACTAAATCTCATGTCTTTGTTCTAGGGTAAACTGATCCATGCTAATTTTGGCACTAAAAAAGACTTTGAGGATTTAAACTCTTCTGTGAATGGATCTTTAGTGATTGTTAGAGCAGGGAAAATCACATTTGCAGAAAAGGTGGGTATGAGAAATACATTGGTGTCTTATTCTCAGTTAAATGATATTCTTGTTAATTTTCTTACATTTTGAAAACTGCAGTCTTAAACTCTTACACCTGATAATATAATTTATTGAAGTGCTTAACAAATAAGTTCCACTTACCTAAAGTCACAGGTAACATCAAACTATGACATATCCACTTGTACTATATTGCAGCCATTATCTTTCAATGAAAATGAAGTAATAAGATATGCTTAAATTAAATGAAAGTAGTTTAAATTGTGTCTGTGCATTCCAATTTATGTATATATAGAATTCACTTAACAATTTGTTTTATAAAAGGAAATTAAAAGCCAAACCTACACAGACGAGACTGGAGCATATACAAAAAGACAAGGTTGTTTGGATGGGTGTTCGTTATTTTTCTTATCCATACTTTCCTTAATTCAAGAGTTTGTTTAAGGGAGATATCCATTTCTGAATGTTTAAGCTGTTTGAAACTTTTAGATTATTAGTCTAGTCTCTGTAACCATTTGTCCTTTAGATAAATCAAGTATTGTTCTTCTCATTTTATATGATCAGATCTTCATTTTCTGAGCTTTTTGTTTTCTTTAGGTTGCAAATGCTGAAAGCTTAAATGCAATTGTGTCTTGATATACATGGACCAGACTAAATTTCCCATTGTTGAAGCAGATGTTCCCTTCTTTGGACATGTGAGTTTCATTTCTTGAGTAAATGAGTTTTTGAGTTCTCCAAATTGTTACTGGATTCATCTATATTAGTAGAAATAGAATTGTGCCTTCATTAAATACACTTTTTCTGGGAGATTTTTTTTTTTTTTTTTTTTTTTTTTTTTTTGAGACAGAGTCTCGTTTTGTTTTCCAGGCTAGAGTGAGTGCGTGGCGTCAGCCTAGCTCACAGCAACCTCAAACTCCTGGGCTCAAGCGATCCTCCTGCCTCATCGAGTAGCTGGACTACAGGCATGCGCCACCATGCCCGGCTAATTTTTTATATATAAATCAGTTGGCCAATTAATTTCTTTCTAGTTATAGTAGAGACGGGGTCTCGCTCTTGCTCAGGCTGGTTTTGAACTCCTGACCTTGAGCAATCCGCCCGCCTTGGCCTCCCAAGAGCTAGGATTACAGGCGTGAGCCACAGCGCCCGGCCTCTGGGAGAGTTTTAAGAGCAAGAAGATGGATGAACTATGAGGCATTATTATTGTTACTAAAAGTGCTTTATCAGTGGTGCCTTGAATTGAGAATTTGGTGTATGCCATATAAAAACAAGAGTCACATATTTTAGAGTTACTCAGACTTTTGAGACCTGAACGTGCTAAACAAAGCTTGGGCTATATAGCCTTATACCAAATCTGAATCTTATAGGGAACTTTTTGAGTAAGTGCCTAATAGAGCTAATTACCCTTTTGTTTTACTAGGCTCATCTGGGAACAGGTGATCCTTACACCCCTGGATTCCCTTCATTCAATCACACTCAGTTTCCACCATCTCAGTCGTCAGGATTGCCTAATATACCTGTCCAAACAATTTCCAGAGCATTTGCAGAAAAGCTGTTTGAGTAAGTTCTTACTTGAAACTGTCTTGCAGGATGAGATTTTATGATTAGGGAAGAATGATATGTTGATTTGATAAAATGTGAAAACAATTGGCATATTTGGGAATTTGAGCGATGGTTATCTGTTAACTTGGTATAGATAACATGAAATATTTTTTCCATGGAGTGATCTTAATGATGGACATTTGATTGATAAACTCAGAAGTCCTTGTACGGTTTACCCAGTGAATTCCTTATGCAATATTCCTGACATTGCTTCTGCTTGAGTACTTCCTGTGATGAAGCATTTGTTGCCTATGGCAACCCACTCAGTTATTGGAGAAAATCTATTAGAATTCATGTTGAACTGAAATCTTTTCCCCTATAACACTCATTTGTTCGGGGTTTTCTTTTTAGCAACATACAATGATTCCAGTTACTTTGTCTAAAAGTGAATATCCTTCTCATGACAGTTTCCAGATGCTTTATAGCCATGATTAGTTCTTCTGGATATCTTTCCTATTGTATTATTAGCATCACACTTTAAAAGCAGAATCCAGTTTGATTAGAGTACACATCAATTTTTATCTTGATGTGGACATATTTCCCACTTTGTATTACTGTAGGATGTCGATCTAGTTTCAGACTCTATGCAAGCATTTATTTGCTGTGTGACATAGAACAAGTTATGCTAACCCCTCTGATCCTGTTTCTTCAACTCAAAGAGTGGTTGGTCTCAGATGAAGAGCATCTAAATATAAAGGTTTCATAAAATAACTACGTAACTATTAATAATGCTTGGAGGCATTTGCAATAAGTGATTCTTATTGACTCATACCAAACTTAGAATCAGGTAATTACACCCATCACCTGTAAGTCTTTCCCAAACTGTCACGCCAGCCCCCTATCTTATCTTTGAGTACTCCTATGATGGTACTGTATGGTAGGAGGTAATAATTTGACCTATATTTATATAAGTAAGTCCCTTTGGAGCAGGCATTGTAGGATAACACATGACATGAAGAATTTGATAGGAGAAGATATCTAACTACCAGTAGCACAGGAATTTTTTTTAATAACTGAGATAAGAAAGTACATTACCCTTATTAGTGGAGAGGGTTGGGAGATACGAAAATATTTTAATGAACTTTCATATATAAGATCTTCATCATGAGTCCATTTTGCTATGTATTTCAAATGTTAACTATCGTTATGTATCTAGTAGTAAGGCATTCATTGGATGAGGATAGGTAGAGAATTTTTTAAAAAATTCTTTAAACTGGGCAGTAACTCATGGTTTTCAAATGACTGCCTATAAATCAAAGTAAGGCACAAATGGGTGACCACTAAAGAGTAAATTTTGTGTGTTTTTGTTTGTCTTTTAAACCTAGAATTTCATTGGACAGAAAATAGGACTGATTTTATAAACTGGGGGAAATAAACAATAGCTCAGAACTCTGATGCCTGTTTCTACTTCTAGATATATGGAAGGAGATTGTCCTTCTGATTGGAACACAGACTCTTCTTGTAAGCTGCGATTCTTACAAAATAAGAATGTGAAGCTCACTGTGAACAATGTGGTGAAAGAAACAAGAATTCTTAACATCTTTGGAGTTATTAAAGGCTTTGTAGAGCCAGGTAAAGACCTTGGTTTTTGTTCTGTTTTTCTGTTTTCCTTGCTATTAAGGATGTGGCTAGAGAAGGAGGAAGTGTAGGAACGCTGACTTGGCTTGCTTTTGTGAAGTGCTAAATCTTGTCTGTCCTAAATTGAACTGTTTAAACGTCAGCTTTATTGGGAGGTTATAAGGCCCTAGGAAATTGACTTGTTAAAAACTGACGATTATGACTAGAAAATCTATTTTAAGTTATTGACTATTAGACCAGCAGTAAGCAAATTTCTTAAGGGGACAGATAATAGACATTTTGTGGGTTATATTCAACTCTGCTATTCTAACCTGAAAACAGGCATAGACAATACATAGTGAATGGGCATGCAAGCTATAGTTTGTTGATCCCTGATTAGACTATTTTAAATGCAATCAAACAGTTATGTCATTTAGTAATAAAACCCTTTAGACTTTAAGTTGCTTATTAAGTAGTTAGTGAGCTCCAATAATTAAGTAGTCAGTGAGTAAATTTAATTGACAACATAGAAAAAATAGCAGTACTAATAAAGGAAAAAAATTAATATTGTCATGTGAATTTTTAATTCCTGGAGTCCTTTAATTAATGATCTTCAGTAAGGCTTTTTTATCCTTAATACATATACTACACTTTATCCTTCTACTAACCTTCTTTTTCTAGAAAAAGTTTGAATGCTGATTGCTGATTGTATAAGTTATCTTTTTTTTTTTTTTTAAAGATCGCTATATTATAGTAGGGGCCCAGAGGGATGCCTGGGGTCCTGGAGCTGCAAAGTCCAGTGTAGGAACAACTCTCCTGTTGAAACTTGCCCAGATATTTTCAGATCTGGTCTTAAAAGGTAGAGTACAAATTGATTATTTATGTACTACATATAGTTCTAGATGTTATCATCTGCTTTGCTCACTTTTGCCTATCTTATGGTTCTCTCAGACTAGATCTTTAGTTCTTAAATATAAGGCAGATAGTTTTTTGTTGTAGTTGCCTTTTAACTTTGAAACAGCTTTCCATGAAGTGTGTTTGCTGCCCTAGAAATCATCAATTTCTTTGAGACACTGGAAAGTGTTACATTGAACCCCAGTTCTTAGTTTGATATATCCAGAATGATACAGCAAATCTAATATAGTCCCTAAGGTGTGTATTTGAAAGCAGTGGCATACCTCTATACTAATGTTCTAAGGCCTAACAACTATTATAATTTTGTTCTGTTCACTTTCAAGTCTTTCTCTCATAGTACTTGCTACTCATCTGCACCCACCTATATACACATTCAAACCCACATCATGTTCTTGAAACTTTGGGTTAAAGAGTAAATTGCAGTGCTTAAATGTTATACAAAGTACATTAATGGGGAAAAATACATACCCAGGAAAGTGGTTAGGATGGAGGGCAGTGGTGCATGTAGCTCCAAAAGGAGCCGTCACTAACATAATTTCTCTGGAAACTTCCTATAACTTTAATTTGTGAATTTTTATTCTGTTACATAATTGTTTTAAATAATTCAGTGTTTTAAGTAACTTACCTCTAAGCAGATTGTTCTCAAGGAAGATACGTATCATGCTTACACTATGATTTCAAATATTTATTGGTCCTGAAGTTAGGGACTCAAAGAATGGACTTGTAAAAGGGTGACCACCCATAAGCTATTCCCTACTATGAACTTGAAATCTTACTTGCAGTTGATCTCTTATCTTGTTCTTTGGATATTACTTTAAAGATTTATTCCTATTCTTTTATTCTTTCACCTGGGATCTCAAAAGGAAAGGAAATATTTTTGGATCTGCTATGTTGAATTAGATGCTGTTCTGATTCATCTTAAGTCAGCTGCCTGCATATAACCTTTCCCACGGTAAAGCTAATTTTTTGTTCTGTTTTAGATGGGTTTAAACCCAGCAGAAGCATTGTCTTTGCCAGTTGGAGTGCTGGAGACTTTGGAGCTGTTGGTGCCACGGAATGGCTAGAGGTATTATTTATATATCATCAATTCCCAGAATGGGCACCGGAACTTGTATTGGTTTAAACAGAAGCTGTGCGGTTTTTATTTTTTTTTTTTAGAGACAGTGTCTTGCCCTGTCACCCAGGTTGGAGTGCAGTGGTGTGACATCACAGCTCATTGCAATCTCAAACTCATAGGCTCAAGTGATCCTCTCACCTCAGCCTCCCAAAGTACTAGGATTGTAGGCATAAGCCACCATGCCCAGCTTGCCTTTGTATATTTAGTCTCAATAGAATCCAGGTTTCAAATTAAATCCCTTTTAAAAATAGCAACTTTATGTGATAAATAAATAAACAAGTTAATGCATATTAATACATTATTTTTCCTTCTAGGGATACCTTTCCTCCTTGCATTTAAAAGCTTTCACTTACATTAATTTGGACAAAGCTGTACTTGGTAAGTATCCTTTTCATCAGCTGTTTATGAATTTAGGCAAACTACTTAAACAGTGGAAGAAAGCTTTATAAAACAGAACTTGCTATTGTTTTTTTACAGTTTACATTGGTCATAACCAGATCAAAAGATTCTTAGTTTTCTCTTGAATAGTCCATCAGGTTACAGAATGGGTGCAGATTGCCTTGTCAAGAGCAGTGATTTCTAAAAGAGTTTGTATGTTATTTAAAGGGTAGATGTAGCTGACAAATGAACTGAGAATAGCAAAATGTGTTAAATTGGGAAGAAAAAGGAAAGTGTTACAATTGAACTAAATGTTCATTAGGTTAGTCATTTCCCGGTTTTACCTCTGCAGCAGAATGTACTGAGTAAAGCAATCTTACTCTTGCTAGCAGATGACTGCCTTAACCTGGGTGAACAAAAATAGGTTGTGAACAAAAAAGCTTATAAACAGAAAAAAGAAAAAAATCAACCAATATGGATAATGGGGAGGCTATGCATGTGTTGGAGCAGAGGATAAGATATATGGGTTACCATTGTACCTTTCTGTTAATTTTGCTATGAACCTAAAATTACCTAAAAGTCACTAAGATTAAAGTATGAAAACTCAAGAAGAAAGACCCTCAATTGAGTCAAGTTAGAGTTAGCAAAGTTACTAAAGTACTTGACTCTTAAATTACTCTTGTCTTCTTTATTAATGGGTTAATTGTTGTATGAGGCCAATGATCTAGGTTACTGTCTTCCTATTTGTCAAGTACTTTTAATTGTAGAAGTAGTAAAGTGAAAATTCCTTGACTAGAAATGGGACATTAAAATAATTTCTTTGCAGGTACCAAAAACTTCAAGGTTTCTGCCAGCCCACTGTTGTATACTCTTATTGAGAAAACGATGCAAGATGTGAGTATATACCTAATTACAAAAAAATATGTAACTTAATTTTTTGTTGAATTTACACAAGATGAAAAACATTGATATTTAAACCATTATCAGTAACCAATAACAGGAATTTAGAATAAATTCTATAGCAGCATTATTTAAGTCATACTCTTGGCTTTTTGGTCCTTAACCTGTTGAACCACGTGAAGTGAGGGAGGTGTTTTATGAAGGGCTCCAATCTCAAACAATGTAGTCTATTTAGGAATATATAGCAAAAGGCCATGAGGCCCGAGCTATAGTGTAGGTGCCTATAGAGGATTGTATATGGAGTCAAAATGTTAAGAAAGGTCTAAGTGGACTTGAATTACACCTAACTTAAATATGAAGACCAGATGAAACATTCATTAAGTAAAACAGATATGTGAATGATCATAGTTTTGAATGAGGGAGGAACCTGTCAAAGAGAGCATTTGCCTAATGGGGTTAGAGGCTATATATTGGAGTTGGAGAAGAACAAAGGTCAGATAGCTCTTGGCTTTGATCCCATGGGGTACTAGGGATTATTACAGGATCTCAAACAAGAGAGTGATGTGTTTGCCAGTTAGGCTGACAGCATAAAATGTGCTAGAAAGAAGAAACTAAAAACAGATAGGCATATCATGAAGGCTAGAGAGGGCTTTTAAAATTGTAGTTAAGCCACCTTTAAAATGTCGTTAAGAAGGAAGACATTTTTCTCACCATAACTATAGGAACTGACAGCATGAGCTTAGTAGTAATAACTTAAGAAATTTGTTGTAACTGTCTTAAAGAAATGTTTTTCAAGAAGATATAGTAGAAGTTTAATATTTTTATAAATGTTTGTAGAGAGAAACATGTTAGTGACTAGCCTGAATAACAAAGTTCAGAGAGGTTAGTTTTAATGGTAAATTTCTTATTTTACAGGTGAAACATCCACTTACTGGGCTGCCTCTATATCAGGACAGCAACTGGGTCAACAAAGTGTAAGTTTAGAAAGGTGAATGAACAAGCTAATAGAAAAGCAGGATTGCCCAGTAGCACCTACTATGACAGCTAGAGTTCTAAACCTAACCTTGCAGTGAGCTTACCTATACCTACAGAGATTCAATTTAAGAATTTATTTGGGGGTAGGGGGAGAGTTGCATGGTAGCACATTTTGGTCTTTAGAAAATGTTCTAAATACATGTTCTCTTTCCTTGCAGTGAGAAACTCTCTTTTGATAATGCTGCTTTCCCTTTCCTTGCATATTCTGGAATCCCAGCAGTTTCTTTCTGTTTTTCTGAGGTAAGTTTGAACTCTAAAACATTATATCTGTCAACCTAAATAGCAAACAGAGAGGCTATTTAAAAGAAAATGATCTTTATTTAGGAATGGAGCATTGCAATGGGAATATGAGTGCCATAGTAAACTATGTGCATATTCAGGAAGGTAAGGAAAAACAAAGGTTTTCAAAGGAAAAATGAGTATTACATAATTGTTTTGAGATAATTATTCTTTGCTACTAAGGTCAAAAACAAGGGGGAAATCTGTCTGGGGTCGGACAGGCAGTTTCTGGACAGATGTCATCACAAACGCATTTCTTTGTGTAAGGTTGCAACAGCCATTGTGCAAAGTTGTGGTTTTTATAAAGTCTTGCGATAGTTTTGCTATAAGGCATACTAAGTGTGAGAACCCTCTCTTCACACAACCTTTCCCAGCTCTCTTTGTAAAGGGTTTGTTTTCTTTTTATTAAAGATACAGGGTCTCACTCTGTTGTCCAAGCTGGAATGCAGTTGTGCAATCATAGCTTACTACAGCCTTGAACTCCTGGGCTCAAGCAATCCTCCTGCCTACTACCTCCTCCCAGGACTAAGTAGCTGGGACCACAGGCATTCACCACCATGTCTGGCTAATTGTAAAATTTTTTATGGGGACAAGGTCTCACTATGTTGGCCAGGCTGGTCTCGAACTCCTGGCCATAAATGAACTCCTACCTTGGCCTCTCAAAGTGCTAGGATTACAGGCATGAGCCTGCACATCTGGCCAGGGTTTTTGTTTTTTCGTTTGTTTGTTTATTTAACACAAGGGACTCCATTCTGATTTTGACAACTTTCACATATCTTAGATCTTCTTATATCAACACTGAGACCAAATTTCCTATAGCAGCAGTATGGATAGTGTTGAAATAGCTGGTCACAACGTCTATTTAGTTCATTAGGAAGAAGTGGGTGTCCGGTCCTATGGTTGAAGGAATTTATGGATAATTTCTGTTGATCTTCAGAAGTAATGTTTTTGAAAAAGTTCAAAATGTAGTTTGAATTTTTAAAACCTAGTAAGTGCTGTTTAACAGGTTCAGTGATTGACAAATGTACAGTCTAAAAGTAATGAATTTAGGTTATACCAAAGGATCATCAATGAGATTATCACCTAGGACAATGGTAGGGAAAATAGAATAAGAAATAGTTATCTAATAAAGGTAGAGCATCATTCTTGTTAGAAAGATAACATGAATGGACTGAGTGCAACATGATTAGGTAGAAGGTAAGTTTTAGTCTAAGAGTAGCACTTTATATTGAAAGTATATTTCGTGCACGTTATCTTTTCCCATTAATATGGGCCAAGCTTCCCAGTGAGAAGACGTGGAATACAGCCTCAAGGAATTTGGTTAGAAATCTATTCAGGGTATATGATACGATAGAACAGGGATTCTGTACAACCTGGAAGAAAGTACTTATTCTAGGTATAGAGTACATACCTGCTCTGAACGTAACAAGAATGATGTCTTCCTAAATTGGTAAATATGAGAAAAAATTGGGGTGGTAATATATTAAGAAGCAAGGGAAGAATTGCAGTTACTATTACCTTGATGGTGATGCCAGAATGTGAGGCTTCTGCTCTTACAACCCACATGAGTACAGTTACCTAGCTTTGTTTTTCAGAACACAGATTATCCTTATTTGGGCACAACCAAGGATACCTATAAGATACTAATTGAGAGAGTTCCTCATTTGGACAAAATGGCACGAGCAGCAGCAGAAGTGGCCGGTCAGTTCATGATTAAACTTACCCATGATGTTGAATTGAACCTGGACTATGAGATGTATAACAACAAAATGCTTTCAATTGTGAGGGACCTGAACCAATTCAGAGCAGACATAAAGGTGAGCACTAATTGAAATTATGTTCTTATTGCTGAACTATCAAGCCTTTTGAAGTGTGATGTTTTGCTGTTCCTGAGGAAGGACATGTATGATTGGTAGCCAAAGTACATTTTAAAGTGAACTGAAGTATAATGTTGCTTAGAATTTGTAACTCATTTGACAGAGAAGTTGGGAATCTGTGGGTTATCTAAGATAGATCACAGCAAATATTTCAGAATCTAGAGCTGTTAAATTTTCTATCATTCATTTATTCCAGGCAACCCATGAATAGGACACAAAGATCTCAACTATGAGTTTGGGCTGTATGCCTTTTGGACATGACATGAATGGAAAGAGAACATAGCCAGTTGTTACAATTGGATTTAGTGTTGATCCTGTGTATCTAGTATTCAAACATGCAGTTAAAATAAACTAATATTAGTAAGTGGCTTCCAGCTGCTTTTATGATTGTAGGAGTCATTTAACAAATCTCTTAATTGAAGTAGATCACTAATAATTAAATATCTTTCCTTGAAACGAGTTGTTAACTGTTCAGAAGATATTCTGGTTATTACCAGGTGGAAATTACTAGAGTCTGAAGTACATTGAACCAAAATGTTTGAGGTTTTCCCCCATAGGGAAATTGAACTGGAAATAATATAGTTACATAGGATTATATACTCTTACTAATTAGTAAGTTATGTTAAATTTCTTGATAAGGATGGTTTTCTTAGGCTAAGAATAGATAATTGTAACTGTCCGCTAGGTTCAAATATATGTGTATTACCATAGTTTAGAGTGCTTGGAACCTCTTGTATAAGGTGCCAAAATCTAGCTGAGTTTTGAGTTTATCTGTGAGTCATATTTTATTAGCATTTCCTCTGTTGCCACACATAAATTAGAAAGGTATATAAAACAACATGCTTAGAAATATAACTGCTGATAATAGTGAATTTAATGTGTTTCTGTTTCAGGAGATGGGCCTGAATCTACAGTGGCTGTATTCTGCTCGTGGAGACTTTTTCCGTGCTACTTCCAGACTAACAGCAGATTTCAAGAATGCTGAGAAAACAGATAGGTTTGTCCTAAGGGAAATCAATGATCGTATCATGAAGGTAAGTAAACTCTTAGTAAAAAGGGAACTAAAGTATGTTAAATTTTTAATTGGTAAATCTTATATTTCTACAAAGTGGCTTCTAGGAACCTAAACTCATTTGCTGCTTTAAGAATTAAGGACAGATTTTTAACTCTTAGCAAGATCTAAACCCAATATATCTAGACTGAAAATAGAGACATTTGACATAGTAGTAATTTTTTTCAGCTTTAGAAATACTTTTTAGAAGAGATCATTAATGATTTTTTGCTGTCATTTTCTATTTCTGTTGTCTAATTCAGGCCTTAATCTTGTTATCCTAGTCTACCTGAAAGAAACAGAAGACTTGTGAACCTTGCATAAATATACTGCATCCAAAATCTGAATACAATTATAGTTCACTTTTACAAAGGAATTGTCAGTTTGCTTGAGAATTTTAACCTTAAAAGACTGATAGTCTGGTTCTCAGCATTCTTAAATTCAGAGAATTTTAACATTTGAAGTGAGAACAACTGTTTATATATTATATATGACATATATATTATATAGGTTTATATATTATATATATATTATGTATGACAAAAGTCACAGCACTGTGTAAGCTTGTTTTATATTTTGTTTTCATAGGTGGAATATAACTTCCTCTCGCCCTATGTATCTCCACAAGATTATCCTTTCCGACATATCTTCTGGGGCCACGGCCCTCACACTCTGTCAGCTTTAATAGAGAACTTGAAGCTACGTCAGCAAAATAACGGTGCTTTTAATGAAACACTGTTAAGAAACCAGTTGGCTCTAGCTACTTGGACTATTCAGGGAGCTGCGAATGCCCTCTCTGGTGACATTTGGGACATTGATAATGAGTTTTAAATGTGATACCCGTAACTTACATAAGAACAGCAGAGCAGTCTGGTTTCTAGACTTGTGCTGGTTATGTTAAAATTTCAGTAGGGCTACAAAACCTAATGTTAAAATTCTACCCAATCATCTTGGTACTACTAGATGTCTTTAGGCAGCAGCTTTTAATACAGGGTAGGTACCTGCACTTCAAGTTAAAGTGAATAACCACTTAAAAAACGTTCATGATAGAATTTTTTCTCTGATTATCTCTGGTATTTTAAGTGCTTTGTAATGGTAACTGCCTCTTTCCTGTTATAGTTTTGAAAACATCGGAACCAGTTATGTGAACTATTACTCTAAATCCTAAGTACATGAGCTGGTATCTTTTGTGAGAGGAAGAAAGTGGTATCTGGTGAAGGTTAAAAGTAGTGGCTTAGTGTGATCCTCCATCCTCATTTAATGCTAGATAGGAGATACCATGTCGTAAGACCTTATACTCCAAATGAGATATATTCATTTCCATAAGGTTTTAGCTGGTTTCTGCATTCCTGAATGAAACAGTTAACTTTCAGAAGAGGTGAGGTCTGAAATAGAGGTCCTTCTGCTGGATGAAATGAGGGTCAACTGTTTATTGCAGGAGCAAGGCCTTAATGTATTAACCTCAATGTTATTTATGAAAAGAGGAGACCAGAAGCCAAAGACTTAGTATATCTTCTTTTCCTCTGTCCCCTGCCCCATAAGCCTTTGTTTAGTTTTTTGTTGTTTTTTCCAAAGTATTCTGAAAGAGAACCGGTTTCAGGTGTTTAATTTCAGACTCAGTTTGTCAGACTTTAAAGAACACACTGCCAAATTTTGGCCAAAGTGTTACTATTTTGGGAAAGCTATCATTTTGGCACTGAGGTATTTATTGTTTATTTATCAGTGACAGAGTTCACTATAAATGGTGTTTTTTAAATAGAATATAATTATCGGAAGCAGTGCCTTCCATAATTATGACAGTTATACTGTCGTTTTTTTTTTAATAAAAGCAGCATCTGCTAATAAAACCCAACAGATACTGGAAGTTTTGCATTTATGGTCAACACTTGAGGGTTTTCAAAAATAGCCGCAAGCCAAATAAAATTATAAAGCTAAGTATTGGAGAAGAACTAAATTTAATTAGGGGTTGCTAATCAAGTTAGACTTCTATTTAGCTGCCCAGATAAAAATGATAGTTCTCCTAAATGCATTGAATTGAAACCAAGTTATAAATAAATGTCACTTAAGGCTGCGGTAGTACTCATGCAAAATTTTATAGCTCACTTTTCTAAGGTGCAACTTTAATTCCAGTTATGCAAAATTTCCAGTACCTTTGTCAAAAACCTAACACATTATCGGGAGCAGTGTCTTCCATAATGTATAAAGAACAAGGTAGTTTTTGCCTACCACAGTGTCTATATCGGAGACAGTGATCTCCATATGTTACACTAAGGGTGTATGTAATTATCGGGAACAGTGTTTCCCATAATTTTCTTCTTGCAATGACATCTTCAAAGCTTGAAGATCGTTAGTATCTAACATGTATTCCCAATTTCCTGTAATTCTCTATCTTTTAGTTTTAGTTGAAGAAAACATTATGGTCATTAAGCATTTGGTGAGTAAATTAAACCACTGTAAAATCAAATTACTTCCTTCAAGATTTTTTTTTAAGTTAATGTGGGTGTTGTGTTATCATTGTGGTTTCTCCAGGTCTTTTGTTTAGCGGGATAGTAGCATACATTTATAATGTTTGCTGTTGACAGATGAATTTAACTTTATCCCCTTATTTCCATATTATCTCCTATAAACTTAGTTCAGGCATGTTTTAATCCAGAATTGACCTTTTGGCTTAAAGCAGGGGGAACTTGTATAGGAGGTTTGGGGGGAGGGGGGAGTGAAGGGTATGGGGAGGTGAACTTGCAAAAAAATCTTTGATCATGTCTGCCTGTCCATTAGTATGTGGTGGTTACAAGTTAAATGTAGATACGAACAAATAAATTTGAAGATACATGAGTAAAGACTTTATTTTCAGCCATCATTGTAAACCTGATAATCAGCTGTTTGTCATAGGGCAGTTCAAAACTGCCATCTAAGAAAAAGTCCATAGGGTCTTTTAAGGTTCTTAAACTCAGTATCACTTACCTAAGTTACAATAGAACGTCCTAGACTATTGCAGCTTCACTGAATTGTTTCAGTACTCAGTGTCTTTAATCTGCAGTGTTTTATCTTGGACTGATGCTTAGTGTAGCTAAGTGAGAAGGTCATAGCTGAGGATTTCTGGCTTGGCTTGGGTATCATGCGTACATATTTTTATGAAAGCTCAGTGACTTCAAGGTGTAATATGAATAAAGAGCATATATTTTACAACAGTAAATCTCTTCCCAAACCCCTTTTCTGTGGTTAGGGTTGAGTTATTTCTAATCAGACAAGCCAGTAAGTGGTAACAGGTTTAATATTCCTGAATAAAATGTGTGTCTGACTAGTGACAACCTGCTAGTCTTCAGAACTGTTCTGGCTAAAGGTATCATGTGCATTTTGAAGGTAAAGGATAAGATGTGTGAGCTCTGTCATGATTTTCTATCCTAGAATTTGCATGACCTTTACTGTGTTTGCTCTTTGAATGTTCTTGAAATTTTAGACTTGGCCAACCTACTGCTTAGCTGTATCTTTGTAAACAGTGATAAGTCATAATTATAAACATGCTGGTACGTGCAACAATGTGAAGATTTCTTACCTGATTTAATAAAAATGCTTGAACACTGAGTTGTTTTTTTTTAAAGAGCAGTTTTAGGTCCACAGCATAATTGAGCAGGAAGTAAAGAGAATTCACATATATCCCCCATCTCTGCCACTTCTATGTACTTCCCTCATCAACATCCCACATCAGAGAGGTACATTTGTTACAGCTGATGAACTCACACTGACACATTATCACCCAAAGTGCATAGTTTATGTGGGTTTTCTCTTAGTGTTGTGCATTCTAGGGTTTTTGACAAATATGTAATGATATGTATCTACCATTATAGTATTATACAGAATTATTGCCCTAAAAATCTATCTCCATAGTTTTGCCTCTCCCAGAATGCCATGTAGTTGGAATCATAGAGAATGTAGCCTTTTCATATTGGCTTCTTTCACTAAGCAATATGCATTTAAGTTTCCTCTGCTTTTTTTCATTTCTTTTGAGCACTGATATACCATCGTCTGATGTGCCATGGTTTGTCTATCCATTCACCTAGTGAACCACATCTTGGCTGCTTCCATGTTTTTACATTCATGAGCAAAGCTGCTATTATTCTGTGTACAGGTTTTTGTGTGGGCATAAATTTTCATTTCACTTGGGTAAATACCAAGGAATGTGATTGCTGCGTTGAATGGCAAGAATATATTTAGCTTTGTAAGAAACTATACCATTTTGCCTTCCCACCAGCAATGAATCAGAGTTCCTGTTGCTCCACCTCCTTTCTAGCATTTGGTGTCAGGGTTTTGGATTTGGGGCATTCTAATAGGTGTGTAGTGGGAGCTCATTTTGATTTGCAATTCCCTGATGGCATGTTAAACATCTTTCCTTATGCTTATTTGCCATCTGTATGTTTTCTTTTTTGAGGTGGCCAGATCTTCTCATTTTTAAATCAGATGTTCATTTTTCTTTTTTGTTTGTTTATGTTTGAGTCAAGGTCTTGCTCTGTCACCCACTGGAATGCAAAGGCACAATTGTAGCTCACTGTAACCTCAAACTCCTGGGCTCACGCAATCCTTCCACCTTAGCTTCACAAGCTTCCTATGTAGGACTACAAGTGCCCACTGCCATGCCTGGCTTACTGATTGGTTGATTGTAGAGATGGGATCTTGCTGTGTTGCCCAGGCTGATCTCAAACTCCTGGCTTCAGGTGGTCCTCCTGCCTCATTTTCCTATGATTGAGTTTTAAGAGTTCTTTGTATATTTTGGAAAACAATCCTTTATCAGAAATTTCTTTCTCCCAGTCTGTGGCTTGCCTTCTCATTCTCTTGATAGTGTCATCGTTCACAGAGCAGAAGTTTCAAATCAATTTTAATGAAGTCTAACTTATCATGCCTTTGGTGTTATATTTAAAAAGTCATTACCAAACCCAAAGTAATTTAGGCTTTATTTTCTAGGAGCTTTATAGTTTTGCATTTTACATTTAAATATATGATCCATTTAGAGTTAATTTTTGTGAAGGGTATAAGGTCTATATCTAGATTCATTTTTTTTGCATGTGAATGTCTAGTTATTAGTTTTTCTTTTTTTTTCTTTTTTTTTTTCTTTTTTGCAATGGCAGAGCAATTGGTAGTTATTAGTTTTTCTAGTTAGTTATTAGTAATATCAAGATATTTTATATTTTTTCATACATCTTCAAAATCCATTGTACTTTAAACAATGCACATCTCAATTTGGGCTAACCTTATTTCAAGTGCTCAATAGCCATGTATGATAGGTGGACACTGCAGCTCTATGGCAGAAGGAATTATTGCAAAGGGTTTTCTTACACAGGCTTTCTACTATGTAATTACCGAGAAAACCCATTACATAATTTAATCTCATTGCTACAAGTGCCAGCAAGGATTCTTCGGTATGGCTATAGGAATTGCAGCCACTAGAATTAGAAGGACTTCTCATTGCCTCATGTACGTTCCAGCTTCCCCTTGCTAGAATTAGCCACATTCATAACCCTTGAGGAGAAGAAGACAATTGTTGAACTGCCATATTGTACATGAGAAAGTGCCTATATGAAAGAAGGTGATGGGCTTGGAAGCTGCCCTACACAAGTATTTGAAGACATCTGTATATCCTCTATTGGAATTCAACGTCAGATACTGGTGTCTTCCTTGTGGCTGTCAATGAGTTTACTTACCTATATAGGTGCTTGAGTTAAAACCTTTGCATTTTGCTGCATCTGCCCTTTAAGCTGCCTAATGCTTAATCCATCCCAAATGGACTGCTTTGTATAATTGTAACTGCACATTTTGAATATATCCACATATCTTCTGGTCAAAGTGCAGAAGGGTCTGTATTGAAAAATAAGGTTTTTCTTCTTGGTCCCCATAGATTTCCTCCCTCTACTTATCCACAGTTACCAATATCATATGTGTACTTTCAAAGTCTTTAGCAAGAATATATATGAGACCTTTGTAAAAGCACATATGGTGGTTCTGGTTCCATGATCACAGCGTAAGCCCCCTACAACCCAGTCCTCCTGCTGCTTACTCTGCTTAAAATAGGAAAAAAAAAAGGAAAAAAGAAAACACCTGAGGACTTTAAGAAGTAAACAAAGGCAGGCACACTGTGAAAGGGAGTAAAACTTTAAAATGACCTAAAAGGGGGACAAACAAAAAATAAAATGTGCCAAAATCCAACCTTATCAATATCTATAATATTGACAAGTTAACATTATAATTAAAAGACTGACAGATTTTTTTAAAAGGCCTATTTCTAGGCTACCTACAAGAAACACTTTAAAGACACAAATGAGTTGAAAACCTAAATATGCAAAAAGATATAATATGCAAACTAGTGTAGTAAGACTGGAGTGATTGTATATCAGATAAATACCAGATATATATCAGATGCATATATATCAGGTAAAATAGACTTTAAGACAGTATTACCAGAAATAAAAATACTGACATAAAGATAAAAGGGACAATTAATTCATCAGGAAGATAATATAAATATGTATATACCTTAATACTGAATAAAAAATTTGGAGAATTAATGAAATAGACAATTTTGCCATTATAATAGATTTTTTTTTTTGAGACAGTCTCGCTTTGTTGCCCAGGCTAGAGTGAGTGCCGTGGCGTGAGCCTCGCTCACAGCAACCTCAAACTCCTGGGCTCAAGCGATCCTCCTGCCTCAGCCTCCCAAGTAGCTGGGACTACAGGCACGAGCCACCATGCCCGGCTGATTTTTATATTATATATATTAGTTGGCCAATTAATTTCTTTCTATTTATAGTAGAGATGGGGTCTCACTCTTGCTCAGGCTGGTTTTGAACTCCTGACCTTGAGCGATCCTCCCACCTCGGCCTCCCAGAGTGCTAGGATTACAGGCGTGAGCCACCGCGCCCAGCCTTATAATAGATTTTTAACACCCATTTCTGAGCAGTCAAAAGAAAACTGTTCAAAAAATCAGGACAAAGTATTTGAACCATTTTCAGCCACCTCAGTCTATTTGATGTCTGTAGTACACTATATCCAAAAACTGCAAAATACTCTTGTTTTTAGCTATACATGGCATATTCATCAAGATAGACCATATATGCTGGGCTGTAAAGCAAGTCTCAAAAATGTATAAGTATTGAAATCATACACAGTGAATTAAATGAGAGGCCAGCCATGGTGGCTCATGCCTGTAATCCCAGCACTTTGGAAGGCTGAGGTGGAAGGATGGCTTGAGCCCCTGTGTTTGAGGTTGCCGTGAGCTATGATGATGTCACTGCACTCCAGCCTGGGCAATGGAGTGAAACCCTGTCTTAAAAAATCAAGAAAAAAAGAAAAATTAGAAATCAGTAACAAGATATCCAGAAAACCCCCAAATAGGAAATTAAACAACAGGCTTCTAAATAGTTTATGGGTCAAAAATCACAAGGGAAATTTGAAAATATTTTGAATAGTAAATACAAAATAAAATGTGTTGATATAGGTAAAGCAGTGCTTATAGCTGCATTTTCCAATAAGGTAGTGACTAGCCAGCCACATGTGACTATATAAATATATATTAAAAAGTTAAATTCCTTGGGCAGGGTGGCCACATTTTAAGTGCTTGGTAACAGAATGTGGCTACTGACTAGTGTACTAGACAACAGAAAATAGAATATTTCCATCACTGCAGAAAGTTCTATGAACAGTACTGACTGCTTGTGCTGCTATAACAGAATACCTTAGATCAAGTAATTTATAAAGAACAGAAAATGTATTCCTTATAGTTCCAGAGCCTAGGAAGTAAAAAATCAAGGTGCTGGATGACTTAATCACCTCCT